TCGCTTACCCAAAGCCGATCTTTTGTTGGACCTTTTGTTTGTGACCTTCTTTGGAATCTGTTTGAAATTCCTATTAAGTGGTTCCCCCATCGCTCTTCCGTTTGCGCCTTGTTTGTCCTTTTCTGATTTTGGGTCACTAGTTGCCACTGGCTTGGTAACCCTGAATTGGTGGCGTGATTTGACTCCCTTCAGAATAGAGGGTAAATGAGAAGCAAGCAACCAAACGACCAATCCAAACCAGTCCAATTTGTGGGAAGCTGAAGTGGAGTTGCGGGCAGGTCCTGCCCCAACTCCGCGCCATGCCCAACTTGCTGGTTATTCGTCCAGCGGACCCCAGCGAGACCGTGGGCGCCTTCGAAGTCCTCGCAGAGCAGCACCTCAGTTGACGGGGCCCGGAAGGAACGAAGCCCAAACTCAAAAGCCAGGCATAGTTCTTCTTGATTGCTATGGGGTTGGAACTTCAGACTTTAACTTTTCGGGAATCATGTGTTTTCCATTGAGCCCACAAAAAGGTTAACTTTTTGCAGAGGGCTGAACAGCAACCAAGTCTTTGAGCCGCCAGGAATAAGGGAAACTATTGGTTGTGGGTGTTTAAATGGGCGAACCATCATTCCAGGGTTTCTTAGGTGGTGGGTTTCGTCCATCCACAGTATGTCTTTGAGCCGCCCAAAGCAAGGGAAACCAAGAGCTTGGCTTTCAGCCAACGCCTGGAGGTAACTGTGCCGATGGGCTAAAAGCACAAAGCCGGCGAAGTGGATTCCGGGGCATCGGTTTCGGCGCCCCCTTGGTTTTAGGACATGGTGAACGGACAGCTTCATCTTACTTTGCGCTTGCCAGGTGTTTGGCGTGTCATTTGGACCCGTTTGGACCTGATTAACGGAAGTTGTTTCTCGGGTTGACCTGCACGCACAAAGCACGCTCCTTGAAGGAAGCCCTGGGGACGCTTAAATCGCTTTGAAATCAAGCAGGGTGACATGGCACAGATTGGGGAGGGGCTCCTTAAGGGTGCTGTTCTGGAGTGCACAGACTGGCCCACAAAGCTTTGGTGTCCAAGTGGTTTAAGCGGTAGCCTACTTGGATCGCTTGGAAGTGCCAGGCATGCCAGGCGACAAGCCACGGTTAGGCGCAGGTAGCCGGCAGCTAAGGCGTGATTGAAGATCGTTCGCGCTTAGCAAACTCCCAGACCATTTAAACTGGCACCGTGTCCAAGCAATTGTTCACGTACCTTTTGATCGCGCACCTCTATCCTGATATCCTTTAACCCTGGCAAAGCTTCATGTGTTTATTCATTATGCTCGCTACGCCAGCCGACGCATGCACAGACTCTAGAAAAGAGCTTGTTGCACACCCCAAAATTGCCAAGAGCATGTTACGCATCAATTCGTGCTTCCCAATCACATTTGTGATGAATGAGCAAGTTAATTCACACACTCCGAAAAAATGGCACGATGGGCACCCACAAAAACCGAATCACAGGGATGGCTGGGAATGCATTCAGAAAGGGGGTGCTTTTCCGAAGACAAAAGTGTTGATGGCACGTGTCAAACACAGCTCGCAAGTTTCAAGCAAGTGCAATGCATAATTACGTGCAGTTGCCTTCAGAATGGCTTCTTTCGGCGCGTAGGGTTTCCGGTTGCGCAGCCATGCTCCGTGCTAAGGTACGGAGAGTTTCGGGACATCAACCACTACGTGGACCCCAAGCCGCTGTCACGGCGCCCGGTCTTCTTGATGACTTCCCGCGGCGAGCTGGGCTTGCCCTACAAGCCCAACGCCGGCATGTCGGGGAGGGAAGGCGTGAAGAGCGGCTGGACTTGAGCAGCCTTTCGTTATGTCCATGTCCCCTTTGGAAAAGACAGCAATCCAAAGAGAGAGAGTAGAACACATCTAAGCGCTTCCTTTCCGTGGGATGTGTGTGTGCGTATGGGGTTCCATCTGATTTTCTCAACCGGAAGTGGTATCCCCCTGAAGCAAAGAGGGTTTTCTCTTGAGGGAGCTGCGACAAGGCCACCAAAAGTAGAGTTGGCAGCTCCCAAACACCATGACATGGTAATAGTTCATTGTTTGGGTTGTTTTGCTGGTTGCCTTTACAGCACCATGCATGCCACCCAACCTACAACTCCCAACCACAGAAAGTGAAGTCAGTTGCTCAGTTTCGTTTCGAACATGGCAGTCAGAAAATGACAACGGCCAAATGGAGTGAGAGCCGGCTTTTCACAGCAACACCTTTGTAGCCCCTCGTTTGGTATGCCTTTAGTCGTGGCAACACGCCCCATTTGGGATTTAGCCGTTTTTCGCCCAGGTCCAAGTGAAGTCTCAAAAGAAGGTCCCAACACATCGGTGCCTTTCATTGCCATGCGAGGCCCTTCGGCCAGCACCGCGTGTCGGATGAAACACGGACCCTCGGATCTCCCCCCTGAAATGGAGCCCTAAAATTAGGAATGATCTCCCCCCAGGTTAGGAATGAAAAACGGAGGACCCCCCTAAAATAGATCATGTCCTTCCTAAAATGGAGCCACCCACTGCTCCGCATTCCGAAGTCGACACTCAGGAGGTGCCTATGTGGTGCACGACTGCTTCGACCTTTCGCCAGAGCGTGGTGCCCAAAGAAACATCTCTGGCGCGCGCGTGCCCGACATCATCTTGATTGGCAGCGGCCAGGACGTGGGCCTTTGCATGAGGACCAAGGAGATCCTCCTGAAGCAAATCGGCGCAATGTAAGACAAACCTACCCGAGAATATAAAGTTATACGTTGCTTTTTGTGTTGCCCCTGATGTGGGTATTTATGACGTTTGGTCATTAATCGGTTTCTTTTTTTCCTGGCATACATGCGTCTATTGACAATGTCAATAGAGTTGTGCGAGAGAACCCAGCGTTCCAGCGCATCCGCGCAACTGCGCGACAGAAGCCATCCTGATTTGAACACTGAGTGAGAGTATGGTGCAGAATTTTCGTGGATGTGTTTCTTCCAAACCTCAAGTTGATTAATTAGTGAGATATCCCCTCGGGCCCCAATCCAATTTTGACCTCCAATGCTGGGGGAGCCTTCAGAACAGCAAGTGGACCTGTAAATCGCAGCCACAGGACTTGCTGCCTATTTCCCCGACATTCCCCGACAACGAACATAGTGGGATTTATGGCTCCACGTTCTACGAGGGGAACGCCCAAAATAGTCATGGGTATGATCTGCTGTAGCAAGGGGCATTTTCCACAAGCTGCAAGTTCTGAGGTGGTCAAGCAGCTTCTACGAGCAGCTTCACAAGACATTCGATGGGTCAGTGCCCTTGCCGATCTCGCATCAGCCATGCCTGAAGATTCGCATCGTGTCAATGCCGTGCTGGGAACTGTTCTTCAGTTGCAAAAGCGAATTGATTTGTGAACTTACACGGTTCGACACACGGACTTTGGAAGACTAGGTCCCCCTTTGCAAAGGAGAACGTGTGCAATTCCACATTTGTTAGTGGGGGAGGTTGTCCTTTGTGTTTGATTTTTTGGACAAGTGAGGTTTGATGAGCAGGACCAGGACTACCAGGAGTCTGTTCTTCTCTCGAACTACACAGACGTCCTTTCGATTTACGTTGAGAAGGCAGCTACCAAGAATACGGGCCATGACAAGTATGCTCAATACAGTGTCTGGGCCAACAGTTGGTATCCTTTTGCATTTTAGGCAGAATTATTAAGTCATTCGCGCTGATAAGACATCATCTTCGCTTGGGAGTGTGCACGACCCGGACCCAAGGGTCTTTTGTGAGTAAAGTGTTGTCGAACAGCATGCGAGTAAGACACAATTTCATGCAAGGAACAGGACGCGCTTGTCAAACCAAGGTGTGTTGATGCCATCCTTCGGTCTCTCTGGGAAGGGTGCAGAGGTCGAGCGCAAGCTCGAGTTCACTCCGGATTTCGTGGCTTCCAAGGTTTGGGCTGCGTGGATTGACCGTGGCAGGCACGTCCAGGTGGCATGGCCAGACTTGGCTCTTTCGCCCCCCATGCCTTGTTGGCTTTCCAACCTTCATTCCAGCCTCGCCATCCATCTTCACCGTTTCCTTTACCTGGGTGTATTTCTGCAAAGGTTGGACCCCGAAAATGGCTTCAAAATCCCTTTTGGTTTCCCTTTTAGAACCACCCTGAAGTTGTTTGTGTTTTTTGTGTTTTTTTTTGTTTTTTTTGGGGGCGGGGGTAACTCTGCAGAAAAGACCAGCCACCCAAAAATGTTGGGGGCCCCTTTCTCCCTGCCGGTGGCTTCCCAGGTGGCCGCAGACACCGGGGACCGCGGGCTCAGCACCTGGGTGTCCCGCATGGCGCGCCGCGCTGGGGCTCATTGACGGACGCCCCCGAAATCTGGAGCTGTGCTCTTGGTGTGTCTCGTGTCTTGTGGTTTTGTTCTTAATTTGCCGTAGCCCCATGCTTTTGGCACTAGGCTAGTAGGCCCCAGGTTGAAATCTGGGTAAAAGGAAAGGAACCACAGCTTATTCAACATGTGGTTAGGTCAATTCTGTGCTCCTCCCACTTGGGTAAACCAACAGTTGTTTAGCACGCGTGCTACTATTCTGTACCACTTGGGTGGTTTTGAGAACGGCCCAAAGATGAGGCCTGTTCCTTGAATGTTGAGCCCTGATTTAGAGTTCCTGCAGGCCATGAATCAAGGCAGTTCCCGGAAAGGTTTCTACTGAGGAATATAAAAGTGCAGCAATGAATCGGGGTTCGCATTCCAACGGTCTCGCCGCGCAAGAGGAAAACCGCACGAGAGCCTGCAGCGCTTAGCACGTTTCGTCTAGTGCGCTGATTCAACTAGGAGAGCTGTGAATTTCTGGCCCCCTGGTTGGCCGCTCTTTGGCACTAATCATCCCGAATGTCTCAGCAAGGGTCGAAGCAACATGTTAGCCTCTGAACTGCGGGGATGCCTGTTGAAACATACCGTGGAACACATCCGAAACAGGTACCCTCAAAAATCCAACGCCACCTGATATGCTTCATACACTCAGCCTGATTGCGCAAACTTGAGGCCACATTACTCAGCAGCATCGCGGTGGCCAAGGGCAACTGCGGCTACCACGCCACTGGGCTTTAGAGAAGGAGCCCGCCAAAGGGGCGGGAGAATGTGGGCCCTGTCAGCTAATTAGCTTCGTTTGCAAAACAATCAGTGAAGTGGCAAGCCTTGGCTGGTGGTGGGACAATTGTTCTGCCATCTTGAGCCTGAGTCTCGATTTGCACCTTGCGAATTGCAACTTAGGATGATGCACTCAGCGCTGAGCTCAGGTCAAATTACCAGGTATACCAATCAGATGAGCAAGCGTGGCAGCTTCTACCGTTCTTTGTTGCCACTTGCTGGCCAGCTTGCAGAGTGGGCGGGTGCGTTGCTCGGATCCTAAGGCGCCTACAAGCGCGCACGCGAGATCCGGCAAAGAACGCGGACGATGGACTCGCCGGTGCCCGGCCTGCCTGAAATTCCATCAGAGAAGAGTTGGCCTACCTGCAAACAATGTATCGAATTTCCATAGGAAACTACAAGGGATTGATAGGTCTGATTGTTTTCTGGACAGCCAGGCATTACTTTTCACACCTTTGATAATGTTCACCACCCACAAGTATGGTGCATCGACAGGGTCTCACGATTCGTGAACAGGCGGGGGCGGTTTGAGGGCACCTGATCAGCAAACACGCCCTTTTGCCCTTCCCTTCTATTTTCCTTGGCTCGGGTGGGCAAAAAGGGACGCCATTTTAGGAGACAATGAAAGCTGGTGCTTCATTGGAGTAAAGGAAACCAAGCCGCAGCCAAGCCATATCCCACCCATCCCATCCAAACCTGCAAACCAACACTTTGGGTTGCCAATTGAAATTGGATCGATCTCACTTTCCTTGCACGAAAACTTGTGGTTCAAACCACATTCAAGCCACAAGGTGCTTCTTTCATTTCAAGTTTCCACCAGCCCCAAGTCCTTCGCACTGCCTTTTGCAGACTTCCGCTTCTTGAGGCGGGCGCGGTGCTGTTGCGGAACACTGGGGTGGCGCTGGCAGGTCGCGCGGCACGGGGCCCTGGATCCAAAAGGTCGGGCCTTGGCCTGTCGGCGGATTTGGGCGCTCAAACGCCCGGGGTTTGTGTGGGGTACCCTTGGTTTGATTGGCTATCTCTTTGGTTTGATTGTGCCCTTCAGCCTTTCGAGGGACCTGAGGTATTTGTTTCAGGTCATGGTCAGCTTTCGCTTTTGAACTAGTTCAAGGATGCCTTTGAGAATGGTAGAAAAGATCGAGGAAGAGATGTGCCACAAGAAGGTTGGATGAAATCCCGCTAGAGGAAGAGTGTAGCTAGTGCAGAGTGATGCTTCCCGTGTTTCACATGGAGGCTGTAGTTTCCAAGGTCAGAGTGGGGGCCTCAGCCCTTCGTACAGGGCTGGGGGGGTTGCAACTAAGAAAAGTCAGTGCAGGGGAAGTAATGCATAAGTGAGGGCAAGGTGCAAGAATGCTGTGGCCGGCCTTGTTATTGCTTAATGGAGGCCAGCATGAAACCACAACACAATGCAGGGGTGGGGCGAATCCTTTACAGAGAATCCCCCTGTGCTTTGCCATTTGCCAAAAGAACGGGGCGCCTAGATGGGGAAGCACTTTGTTGGCCAAGGACTCTGAAGGAGCTTTGGACGCGTTCCTGCAAGCGAAGGCCTGGGTCTATTCATGGGATCTGGACTTTGACCAGTTGGGTCTTGCAAGAACCATTGCTGAAAAGACAACTTTAGATTCCCCAGAGTTCGAGCATTCGCTTTTTCGGGATTGCACCCGCCCGAGTTGTTTGTGAAAAACATGTATGGAAGGGGGCCACATGTTTCGGGATCAGTTCGGGGGGAGCTAAGCAGCCATAGACAACTCCGTGAAATGAGAGCCAAACGAAGCGCCCAGGCGTCCACGATCCTGGTTTGACACCCACCAGTTGTTTGGAACCATTTGGGCTTTGAGTTGCCATTCGATTGATTGCATTCTCTTTTGGCAGTCATTGGGGGATATAAATTATAAACATATGAGCATCCCTCTACTTACCAGCTAAACTAAGAAGACTCACTCATTCACGCGTATCTGCAATGACGGGTAACCCCTGGTAGTGCTTCTCTGATTCTCTGAGCACATCAGGCCATCCGAGAGCAGCCACGGGCTCGGTGAACATTGCCTGGGTATAAACTATGAACCGGGGGAAAAAGTATGAACCGATAGATGGTTCATGCATGTGTCCCCTGCTATAGTTCTTTGGATGTGGGTCGTTTCGGGGCATTGAGTGGGCCAGCTTTTTTGGGGCATGCTGTTATGGATGTCCAACTCTCAGCCTGTTCATGCGGCCCACTTGAAAGCTGGTATAGCCTTGGGAAAACGCGCGTCGCAGGACGCGCGTTGCCGGGGCTCTAGGGCCGTGGGCATAATTCTGCAAATCCCACCTGAGATTTGTTCAATCTCTCTCCAACTTGTTAAAGTCTATGGATCTGCTTCGGGAACAAAAACCCTAGGGCGAAGTACTCCTGTTAAGGCGGTCCTTCAACTCGGATGGCGGCCTTTCGGCCTTTTGGCTTAGGACTGGCACCTTGGTCACCTGTGGCGGCGCAAACCTGATGGCCAAGCTGGCGGCCCTCCGCGCGGAACGCGGCCCTTTGGCGGGATTCGTCCATGGCGGGTGAACCCCCACCAGTTGCCCTGTGGATGCCGCCCTTTTTCTTTTTATTGGGGAAGGGTTCCCCCAAAAAGTCAGCCAACCAAAAAAGGACGTTTTTTCCCCCCATGGCCACTGGAATAGAATATGTAGGCCATGTTGGGAGCTTCATGGTACGTGTTGCCCTGGAGGCTTGTCGGGGGATTTGTTTGGAGGTTCCGAAATCCGTGGATGCAAGGTGAGGAAGCCTTGAGGGACTGCCGTACAGCGAGGGACCTGCATGAGCGTGCCCGGCGGCCAAGTGTGAGGTGCGTAGCCAGCTGCGTGGTCCAAGCGTCGCCATGGTTTACACAGGGCCAAGCAGCAATCCTTATGGGGAGGTGGCCATAAACGCAAGGATAGCCGAGGAGCCAATGAGCCAATGACCGCGGCTTGCATCAGGAGTTTTGACAAACTCACTTAAAACTGGAGATGCCAACCTATACATGAGGTTCATAAGGGGTACATAGGGGCATACGTTGGGAGCACGTATCCCGACACATAAGTTGTCCCCCCTGAATGGATCCCAACAAAACCATCCAATGTTTGGTATAATCTGTTGGGCAAGGATTTGGTTGTGCTCCATCTGTACGGGAGCAGCAGGTAGTAATGGGTGGTTTTATCATGGCAAATTCGGGTATCGTATGGGGATTGTATATCCGGACTTGGCCACCTTTATGTTGCATGCGGAAAGTGCAACCGCTTCGCCGCCGGTTCCGGCGCCATGTTTGCCTTTTTGGCTGTGTCAATCGCCCAACCTGGGACCTTGGGCATGTTCTCGCCCAGGTTGGGACTCTTCAGACGCCTGGAGGGCGCACGGTATGGGCCCCAGGGCTTCAGTGGGGTTCACCTCAAGCGAGATGACTGGGGTCCACCTCCGGTGGGCTTGGGCGTCCCTTGATCCCTTGGTTCCGCTTTCGTGACTTTAACCTCAGCCCCAAGGTGTATCTTTTGTTTTCTGGTACTGCTAGCAAGTGACTGCGCCTTTTATGTTTTGATTGGTGGGTTTCCGTGCCGGAAAAGTCAGGCCGAGCCAAGCGGAAGTTTCAGAAATACAAGAACTAGAGTTTGGAGCACGCTTTGTTCCCCTTCTTTCTCTCTCTCTCTCTCTCTCTCTTTCTCTCTCTCTCTCTCTCTCTCTCTCTGTTGCTGATTTCTTTCTCTTGTTCTTTCTTCCCTTTCTCCTTCTTCCCCTGTCTTCTTGTATTTCTATACTTCTCTTATTTTATGTTGCGTACGTCTTTGTCTTTTTCCCTTCTGCTCTTGCTTCTTTCTCTTTCTCTCTTTCTTTTGCTCTTCTTTCTCCGCTCTGTCCCCCTCTCTCTTATCAAAACGTTTCGCGCCCGCTCCGAGCCCACTCCACCCGCCTCAGCACAGGCACAGGGCCTGATTTCCGGCCCGCTTCTATTCCCCAGTCCTCGCATTGTCAAGTTCTTTTGGTGGCTTCTTCACACGCAGCATCAGTCTGAAAGACCGAGCGCAGGTGCATGCATTACATTGTTCTTAGCTCAATTGGTTCCAGTACTACGGGAGCTCCTTCTAAGGCCAATTGGCGGATCACACCCCGCCTTAGGAATGGCCTGCCGCCCCCTTTTTCTTATCCCGTTGCTGCCGCGGTAGAGTGTCGTTCAAGGGTATGCTGTGTAGCTCGGCAACAAATAATCCATACTCCGGAGTGGATTCTCAAAGCTTTGCTTCATCCAAATGGTCCAGTTGCAACAATTGCAACAGGATTTGCTTTTGGCTCAGGCACAAGTGCATCGTTTGCTGTTTGCTCAGCGCCCACCAATCTGGATGCGCAGAGCAACCAAATGGCGCATGCGTAGGGTTCAGAGAGCTATTCGCAGGTAGGTGCTATGTATGGCTCCTGTTTCTTTCCCCGGAAAAGCAAGCTTTCTGCAAGGACACGGCCAGTCAAGCAGCCGAAGCTTGTTTCAGGATGTGTTTTTGTTTGAAATCACTGGCGACAAATAATTGAGGGGAATGAGAGACTGAGTCTATGGGAACACGATATGGCCGGTAGGGTACGATCGACCATTTGTTGGGTCATTTCTCTGTTGGGATTGGCAACTACTCGCCCAAAGCCGATCTTTTAATCTTTTGGTTTCTCCTTTTTGGTCTAGTTTCAGTGGCCCCAAAAGGTGATCACCTTTTATCTCTTAGTCCTGGCAAGTGAGATTCCCCGGGCGCGGGGCCAGGTCCTGCAGCTGCTGGAGAGCAAAAGCCCCAGGGTTTGCAGAAAGGCATGTCGTGGATGGACCAAATCCGGAACCCACGAAACTGGAATGATTCGATTCCCCTGCAAATACCAAGGTTTCCCATGGTTTCAACCATTGTTTCAAAGTGGTGCGAAATGGATTTCGTCCATCCACAGTACCTCTAATAATGGAATCGTTGGCTTTACCTGTCCATTCTCGCCAAAAAAAGAAAACGAAGCCAAAAGAGGATGGACAGCTTGCTTTTCCCCTTCAGTTTAGCACCCTGACCGTGGAGCACTTTGGCTCAGTGGGGTTTGTAGTGGCCCAGGCCGAGACTCCTGGAAGCTCAGAGTTGGTTGAGTCCTCGAGGCCAACCAGGCATTTTCAGAGCAGAAAGCTCCCTCCCTACCTCCAAGAAACCACTCCTTGAACGCCACAATGGAGTTCTTTAAGAAGCCGTGGACTACGTCTAAAATAGATGTAGGATGGCCCAGGGCTGCTTTTAACAATTTCAAAGCAATGACCAATGGCTAGGCCCCTTTCTTGGTTTTTTCTGTGCTTTCCAGCGGCCCACCTACGATCGCCATCGAGCCTCGTCTTCCCAAATTCGCGCGCTGTTGCCCCATGTGGAGCCACGCTCTGCAACTTGAGGCCTCCAACGTCGCTGAATTGGGGGAGGGCCGCAAAGGCTCAGCACTCCCCCCGTAGTCGGAGATGCCAAGTGGGCCAGGCAAGCTGAGTTTGATGTGTCTCCTATGTGTGGCTTCTGGCTTCCTACTGTGTCTCATGGTGTGGTACGGGTTTCAGTGGTGTCCTACTGTTTCTTACGTTTAAAAGGTGTTCCATTGTGTGTGATTGTTTCTGATGCTGTTTTGTGGTTTCCGGTGGTCTCTTGTAGTTGTCCATGGCATTTGTGCGGTTTCCACTGTACAAAATAAGAACTTGCAATTATTTACGCTCGTCTCACCATTGCTGAAATGTTGAACTATTGGTCCAATAGTGAATGGCATATTATTGCAAATGCTGACAGTGGTGTTAGCTTTGTGTTTGCTTGGCACTTCCCCCTAGGCACTTTTCTGTGATTCATCCTGTGTTGGCAGGAGGCTACCCAAGGTCACCTCTTTCCCCACAAGGCTGTGATGCAATAGCAAGTATATTTTATTGTCCATCCTTCATTCCCAGGCCGAGCAGGAACATATTCCACCAAAAGGCGAGAGAAGGTAAGGCTCTTAGCACGCACTGCCTCCCGGTTCAAGTTGACACATAGACGAAGCTCACAACTGGAATGTGTCAAGCTGGAAGCGTCTCTTCTCCTGTCAATGCCATGGGGTCCGGATGCACAAAGTCCCAAAAGCTGGCCTCAAAGGCCTCGATGTGCAAAGGGTTCTCCGGGCGCATGCTTTGCTCGAATAAACTTGCAATAAGAGGGGCCCACATAGGATACTTGCGCAGAGGACTTGTTTAAGGTAGGCTAGTGAAAAAGGCAGCCTTGTCTCTGGCCGCTTTTTCAGCTCGGGAGCTGCTTTTGATCAACGCTTGGCCTGACCTACCAGCGCCATCAGTTACAAGCTGAAAGGGCTGATCAATCCGTGCAAAATAAATTGCGACCCAACCGAATTTGGATATTTCGTTTGCAACCAAAATGAACCCGTGAAGGTTCCTTCCATTGCTATTTTATTTTGTCAGGTGCCTGAATTGTGGTACTCTTGAATCAACGTCTTCCTGGAGTCACCTTTTTTCTTCAGAGAAGAGCCTGCAATGACCACGGAGACCCTGAAACTTGCCGGGGCAGTCACTTCCAGGGAAGATTAGCAAGAAGAGCAAGCCCGTCCGCCCTTTGTTGGCTTGGCCAAATATTTCGTTGGGTTCAGAAAGTGTCGTATACATTCTAGCAAGAAATTGCAAGTGGGCAACACATTTGCTGTGGATCTGTTTTTTCGACCCACTGGCCATCATGTTGGCTTGCTGCGGGTTTGCCAACTCATGAAGGTTCCTTTCTTGAGGGTCCATGTCTTCCAGGCAGTAATTGGATCGATGTCTCCTTTTTTGGTTTCCCAATATCAAGGTGTGTTTGGTGGTTTCACTCCGGACAGAATCCACACAAGTCCGTAGCTTTCCATTTGCGGGCGGATCAAGCATCACCTGTTGGGATGTCTCTTGTGTTTCTGGACATGTAACCTCAGGAGGTGTATGCATATCAGACTGTTGCCGTTGATTTCAGTGCCAAGAATGCTGAATCAAATTTGAGTTGATCAATCAATTTCGCCACCCATTGTATCCTATATAGCTTTCCTTAGGAGAAGACAGACGAAGACCCCCACATTGATCAGCTCCTGCTCAGTCTTCGCCAGATGCAAACTGCAGCCTGGTTAATGCATGACCCAGGGCATTTGCGGAAATGACAAATGTGACCTGACTTGGCTGGGAGCCAGATCGGTTGAAAAGCGGCCTTTGTGCACCATATGTTTTTGCAGCAGCTTATGTTCGAAGAGAAGTTCCCTGCTCAGGCTCAAACAACGAGTTTCTGCTGTGATTTTCAGATTGAACATGGGCAATTCTGCGGACGGCCCACTTTGCTCGCTTTTCCCACTGATTTTCCTTCCGCCTGAGCATGCCACACCGGCAGAGTCGCCAGAGCGCACCGAGCCGGAAAACGGCTGTTGCAGACATGGTGCGCAACTGTGCAGCAGAGGTGTGTCTTTAGCAGGGCATCTTGTAGACCTGCTTGGTGTCACCAAATGCACGTAACATTGTGTAGGATTCCCATCCCCCTGACTACTTTGTGACTTTACAGGGAGTTCCCTTGGTATGACAGGGCGTGGCTCGAAAGCCCAGTTTTGAAATGCACGCCGCGCATCGGCCAAAGCCCCATCACAAAGCTCCACCATCCTGATGGGAGATGGGAGCCACTGGGGCATTACAGGGCCGAAAGTCTAGCAGGATCCTGGGCGCCAGGAAGAAGTGACTCCACGATTGGAGGTGCCCTGGACCACGAGACTCAGTCCCAAGAAAGCCGCGCACGGGGATTCCCAGGAGTTGTTGAGTGCGGCGCCTGCGCAGGCAAGAATGCACTATGGCCACCCTGACATCATGAACAAGGCGGGTCTTGGCTGACATGTGCCCCCTGCACAAATTGGACTAGATGCTCACGCCACCCTTTCAATCGTGCCCGAGTGAATGAGCGAAGAGGTTACGCGTACTCAGGAGTACATGATGCAGCAGGGCGGGGTGTCCAAGGCCACCAAGACATTGAACCTATCGGAGGCCGGGGTGCGCCAGTGCAGAACTGAGGTGGTGCGGGCATACGCCTATGGACCTGGCGCATGTGGGGGCTACCTGAGCGGAGCTCAAGAGGGGTCAAAACTTGTTTGTTCTTCCTTAGGCCCATCCTTTTCTGGGCGTCTCGGTGGCGGTTGATTTTAATATGTTATATAGACCATTGCTTTGCGCGAGAACCAAAATCATGGTCCACACGAGTCTTGAGCACGACTCCATGCCTATGGCACCTGGGTTTTGTTAATGAACGTGCTGCCGCTGCCCCTCGGCGCTCGGACAAGCCATTGCTTTCCTACCCGTGGAAACGTGTCCTCAAGCTCGCTGCCGGACCGTGACACCTGCGAGCGTAGGACATCTTCGCTGGCATGGACTTCGTCCTCCGAGGGGGAGGTGCGACAGGGAAGACGTGCCTGTCATGCATTCCTTGTGTCAGTCGACCTGGGTATGCCTTGTGAGTGGCAGGCAGCAAACAAAACAAGCACATTGGCTAACAAATCTGGGAGTGCAGGGGCAAGCCGTTTCCAACAGGATTGGCATGGTCTGAAGCAGGTTATGTGAGCAAAGTGATGTTGGCTTCTGGATCGTTCTTGCGCAGGTCGCACCATCAAGCACCGCGAGTACTTCCACCTAGCCAAAGGCGCATCGCAGGGTGTCGTTGGCGGAGTTCTCTCCTAAAGATTCCAACATGTGTGGACAACGTTTTGGTTGGTGTGGGGTTCCACGGGCAAGCCACCCATGCAGAGTCCCTACGTTCGGAAATGACATGGAAGGCGGCAATGCTCATCAAAGAAGAGTCTCTGGGAAAGGAAGTGCCCTCCTTATTGGGGTGTTGTTCGTTGGAGAGGTGTGCTTAGCATGCTTGAATTCCCCATGTGCCTCGTGTGTCGTCCCATGTTTGGGTGCACAGACGCCAGGATGAAAGCCACCCTAAATCCATTGAAAGCCAGGAGGCGTGAGGATCGGTGGTCTGGCCGCAATCAATTCACTGGTTCATTTCGTTTTGCTTCTATGGGAGTAGCCCGACTCAGGTACAACTCGTGTCACAGCGATGTCCATTTGAAGCTGCGCTGAGCATCACTTGTTTGTTACAGGGCAAGCGAGAGAGGCCCAAATACAAGTTACGTTTGTTACATATATACATCCACAATCATAAATCAGGGAAATACCCTCCCAACAAACAGATGGAAGCTGAAAGGTTCAATTTGTGTTTGGAAGGGTGCCATGATTTTGGTGCCGCTGACAAATAAATAAGTTAATGTGTAGATATATATATATATATATATTGGGTACGTTCAGGGTACCTCTGAAGTCTTGGAGCCGGCCGTTGCAACTTCCAGGCCGAGACTTGGGCTTCAACACAGCAGGGGGCCCGAGCACACCCCATGGCAAGGTAGAGGTGGGTGGGCGATTTGGGGGGGGGGGGAGGGAGGAAATTATCCAGGAAGATAGCCCAAACCCCCGGCTTTTGTGGGTATTTGGCGAGATCTTCCTGAAGATGGTTTGTTAGAAATTGAGGGCGTTCCGCCAAAAATGAATGCACCCTTTGTCGACCAGAAATTGTATGCGTCCGTCAGTGCAACGGGTCTGTGTGCGTGACCCTTGCTGTTGGCTGCCCTTTGCACTTTGTGACGTGGTAGTGCACGGAATTACCGTTTGCCCTGGGTGCCCTCTCTCTTTGCAATGTATTGAACATGGGTGTATTGAAGCGGCCCACAGCATCAGGGGAAAAAGGGCAAGCACCCTGTTCAAAGGGCACTTTTGGAATCAAGCCAATGCTGGACTGTTGTGTGTGTGAATATGGGCATGACAGGGCAGCCAACACCAATTCCAACGACGTTTCGAGTTTCGGTCGTTGCCGGTGTACAGCTGGGGCTCAGGGCTGTCAAGGAGGGAATGTGTTTGATCTTGCAGTTTTCAAGTGATGGAACACCATGCTCCGAGCCAAAAAAAGACAATGATCAAATCACAAGGGCAGAACCTCGCTTTGGTCTTTCTACATTGTCATCTCCGGGGGAGGAGGGGTGTACGTCCTTTTTCAGACGACTATATTGAACTCTTCGTATGAGAAACTTTGCGCCAAAAAGCCCCCCCGAAATGGCTTTTCTTTGGCGGTGTTCAGAGTGTAGGAAAGCAAGGCCCGCCGGCTTGGGGGGTTAATTTTCGTGTCCTTGACTGCGTAGCATGTGCGGCGGGCATCTGTTTTGTGTGGACCGTTTCATGTTTGTTTTGCTGGTTGATGGTTAAGTATCGATGTTGGGCAGTCTATTTCCTATTTGTGTTTGGTTGCAATTCCGTGGCTGGACGAAATCCTGCACTTGGGATGGATGAACCCCCATGAATACTGGCGCAGGCCATCAATTGAAGTGGAAGTCGCACTGGTCGGGCACAATTG